CTGTGACATGGGAGCTGGCTCGGAGCTCGTCTGCATGGCTGTGTGTTTCCTGGACGGGGCCGCCTGTGGAGCTGGATTACAGTTACTTTGAAAACCAGTCTGCCTCAGCAGATGGCCGCTCACACCGAGTCTGGTTCTACTGGAGGTGTCTTCCTGTTAAAATTTAGTTTTCCCTCGCCACTGTCGCTACAATCATGCTTAGTGTGAGGGATTGCCTTTGAGTTAATGACTCGATGCAATCTACCGATCTGGTTGAACTTTAAAGTGCCTTGAGATGATCTGTTGTGAATTCGTGCAATATAATTAAACTGAATTCAATTTAAAGTCGGGTTTAGCAAAGTTACAGGATCATCGCGCAGCAACAGTTTAAGGTTGATAATCTCTCATTTGTTTGGTTTTGATCCAACCTTTAAATGCTTTTTGTGCTTCGGGTCTCAACTCTGATGTGAAACGGTCTTCAACACCATTTAATAATTGAACTTTATTGATCTCACACTGGGGAAATTTACCTCTGCATTTAACCCATCCCATTGGGGAGAAGTGTGGGTTTAAGGGTCTTGCTGACTGACCCAGAGTGCTGACTGTGGGGATCAAACTGTGTAATTGCAACCTTCAATCCCCTTAATTTTAGATATCTGAATTTATAGTATGAAATACTGTAATCTCTAACTTCTTCCTACAAAATAAAATTTGTGATTAACGTCATAAAACGTAAAGTTAAAAGATTTGTGAGGCACTGCCCATTTCTGCCTCTGTTTAGTTGAAAGACCAACAGGCTCATGCATACAATATGAAAAGCTGGATAGAGCTAAAAATCCTCCTGCATGTGTGGAAAGTCTGAGCAGCTGCTGAAAGGTTGGACTGTCAGCAGGGTGCTGAGGCTGAAGAAACAAAGGAAGCTAATTGTGTCAGAGACCACACCCGGAGAACAGTTAGAACAACATCTAAAACACTTTGTCGTTCCATGTGGGGCTTATAACTCACCACTTTGCAAACACTGGTTTCACGGTTCGATTTGCTGGACTGATTGAGCTGCTAGTAAATGTCACTGACCTGAAGCCGTGCAACAGCTGCTGCAAAAAGCAAAGACCACATAATCTCCAAATCATAAGGAACGGAAGGATGATTCCTCATTTCATGGAAGTCTTCCAAACCTACTTCTGTATCAGTGTGGAGATATGCAGGGTGAATGATAGACGGCTGGAGAGGCCATTACATGACAAAAGCACCTTTATGGGCATAAAACTAAAAACAGGAACACCTGTACAGCAATGGGGGAAAAACAAACGGCACTTTGATTCTCCATGGGAATCTCGTGGTGACAGCTTCCCTTTAAGTCTTAGCATATAAACACTGCAGTCATATAGTTCGTCTAATGCTACCAGTCAACCCAATTCACAACTTAAAATAATGAGTCATTAGCTGAAAGGTGATGCATGATTGGCAGAAGGCGTTTAATTTAGTAGCCAACACTTCAAGCTTGTTGAGCATTAGTGGAAGACATTGTTCATCGATGGATTAGCTGGGATCAGCTTTATAATACTGAATATTATCAGATGACAGAAATAAAATTCACTTAGTAAGCTACTGCTCATTTTATTCAATCCCAACTCTGCACACCTAGAATCCAAAAATGTACAAAGGAAATTTTTTTCCTCACTTTTTCATTTATTTATTACAATTAATTCAATGTTTGCCATCACTATTTCACGTGTCAGCGTTTCCGTTTAAAACAAGTCCAGAATGCGACTGTTTTTCTTCTGGAACCTGAAGAGTCCTGAAGGTGGATGGGGGTGGGGGGTTGAAAGTAAAGGACAGGTTTGTAGCAGGAAAAGAAGGGGGAGGAAGGGAATAGAGGGAGAGAGACGGAGTGGCCCCTTCCCCTCAGAGCCACTTCAGTGTGAGAAGATTTTTTTTTTTTTTTTTACGTAGACTATGTGAGATTTTTTTTCTTTTTTTCTGGAGTTTTATCATTTTCTCCTCTTGATGAGCTTTCGGGTCTGGCTTCGACATTTACTCGACGTCCTCGGCGTCGTCTCCTTGGTCTCCGTCCATTAGCAAAGCGGCGTATTTGCTGGCTGAGCTGAATTTCTAAAACAAGGTGAAAAATAATTAAAAAAAATCAAAGAAATCATTAATTCACTCAATATCTGGAGGTGTTCATCTTGTAAAAATTAGAAGTGTTATTATACTTCATTTGACTTTTTTTTAAATGTTATTTCTGAAGTGTCACTGTTTAAGTTGACAGTGGTTACGGCTTTCACTACCACCTGGGTTAGAGGGTGATATCAGTGGGTCTACTACAACCCCCCTTTATCTGTTCTGGTGTTTTAATTGATCTTTAATCATAACCAATGTGTAGATAATGAAAGCACTGAACTAGACAGGCATTTCTCTCTGAGGACTGGGGCCTTGATTTCCAAACAAACATTGGGATTTTTCACCTTTTTATTTTCTTATTGTAAGGTTTTCATGTACATATAAAACTTTCCGTTAACAACTCTATTACTATAATACCATGGACAGATTAATACTGAACTATGTTGACTTACGGGGATTGGGGTTTCCTCATATCTCTTTGGCTCTGGAGGCGGTCTGGACTCTCGCTTGTTGTCCTTTCTACAAACAGAACAAACAAAGTAAAAGGTTTAAACAGATAATTCATCAGGATAAAATGTGTTGTGCTAAAATCCACCAGTTTAGGTCTAAATTATATTTATTTGTGCAACATATTTAAAGTTCAACTACTCCACTGATTGGATCTAGGTAATCCATTTATATTAAAGATTGATTTTATTTTTTTTTTTTTAGCTCCGATTTTAATTTTTCTGCATGATTTAGTAAAGAAAAGGATGGGCATTTCTATGTGGAAGTCAAGTTGTGGAAAATAAAAAGGGCAAAAATGAATGAAGCCGTAACAGAGTAGGTCAATCTTTCCAGATGCCCAGAAACTGTTCTCTCCGTCTCATTAGGAACTTTAAAGTACCATTTCTTCTCATTTTATTGCTGACCTGTCTGCCTCCTTTTTTCTGTCTTTGTTGGGCACCTCTCCTCGGCCCCGCCCAGCTCCAGGCCCTGCAGGCCCCCCTCGTGTCCGTGGGGCCCCTCGGTCCCGACGAACACCATCAGCCTTGTTCTCATCTTTAAAAAGATGACAGACATTTGAGTGAGGGCCTGATTGCGCCGTTTGTACAATAGACAAAAAGTCTGCATTAAAAGCTACTGATCCAAGTTCAAAAGGCTTTGTTACAGAAGTAACAAATGAGCAGTGAACCACTTAATATAAAGCTGGAACAAAAAGTATCCCAATAAAAATCTTTAAATGTTAAAGAAAAAGTTGATAAAGAATAAAAGCTGTCAAATAAATAGTGACAGTGAGGAAAATAAGTATTTGAACACCCTGGTATTATGCCAATTCTCCCACTTAGAAATCATGTAGGCGTCTGAAATTGTCATCCTAGTGCATGCCCACCGTGAGAGAAAATCTAAAATAGCAAATCCAGAAATCACAATATATAATTTAACCACTTGTAATATACAGCTGCAAACGAATATTTCAATGCCTCTATTAGCAAGAATTCTGAGCCTCAAAGACCTGTTAGTCTGCCTTTAAAATGTCCGCCTACACCCCATTTATTACCCTAAATTAGATGCACCTGTTTGAGGTCATTAGCTGCATAAAGACACCTGTCCAATCAGTAAGAATCCAACTACTAACATGGCAAAGACCAAAGAGCTGTCCAAAGACTCTGGAGACAAATATTGTAGACCTCCACAAGGCTGGAAGGGGCTACAGGGAAAATGCCAAGCAGTTTGGTGAAAGAAGCAATGATTAGAAAATGGAAGAAGCCAAACATGACTGTCAGTCTCCCTCAGACAGGGGTTCCATGCCAGATCTCACCTTGTGGGGTCTCAATGATCCCAAGAAAGGTGAGAAATCAGCCCAGAACTACACAGGAGGAGCTGGTCAAAGACCTGAAAAGAGCTGGGACCACCGTTTCCTGGGTTACTGTTGGTAATACACTGATATATCATGGTTTGAAATAATGCATAGCATGACGCGGTTCCCCTGCTTAAACCAGCACATGTCAAGGCCTGCCTTAATAAGTTTGCCAATGACCATTTGGATGATCCAGAGTAGTCATGGGAGAAAGTCATGAGGTCAGGTGAGACCAAAATAGAACTTTTTGGTCATAATTCCATTAAATGTCTTTTAAGGAAGAATGATTAGTGCCATCCCAAGAACACCATCCCTACTTTGAAGCATGGGGGTGGCAGCGTCATTCATTGGGGGTGATTTTCTGGACATGGGACAGGGCGACTGCACTGTATTGGCCATGTATTGTGAGATTTTGGGGAACAACCTTACCTTTTCTCAGGTGTTGAAATACTTATTTGCAGCTGTATCTTACACACTAAGAACACTAATAGTGTTGGGACATTGCAATTTCTTGGCCCCGATACCTGGCTGTGCATTATCGACCGATACCATATCGATACCATCTGTTTGAAATTGATGTGTGTGTGTGTGTGTATGTATGAGGAACCATCATGGCTTTATCAAGCTGCTGCCTACCTTAGTCAGCAAAAAGACTAATACAAAGTGAATCCAATAGAACTTTTTCATTGCCTACCTGGAATTTCATTTCCCTTGTATGTCTTGTACATATGAAGAAAGTGACAATAAAAGCTGACTTGACTTGGAATGGGTGACAATAGTTTAATAAACTTTTGGCTCTCAAAATGGTGTCAGTGCCCCATTTGTTGGTACTCGCCGATACCACCATTTTAGTGCTGTATCGAGGCCCCGCCTGATACTGGTATCGGTGCAACTCTGCAAATTAATAGTTAATCATATATTGTCATTTGTGGATTTTAACATTTTTTTTTAAGATTATGTCTCTCACAGGGGAAATGCACCTAAAATGAAATGACTTCTTAGTGGGAGAACTTGCAAAGAGCAGGGTGTTCAAATACCTATTTTCCTCACTCTAAGTGGAAATTATTTTGGTTTATTATGAGCATAATCTAGCCCAGCAACACAATACTATATTAAAAAGTCATTCATTTATTGCACATACAAGAGCTCCAACTCTAAACATGACCACAAAATAGTTGATTTATTGCAAGCCGTTTGTCATTTTCCCAAGCAGAGGTTGACAGTATTGCTTAGCATAAATAGCTTGTTTTACTGGTAAAACTATAAACATTGTCGAATCCAAACGACACAGAAGATGTTTCCTGCTAGTTTTTCCTGAAGATGCACAGAGAGCCCCTGCTTACCAGAAGGGCAGTTCCTTGTACCAATGTGTGCCAAGGCTATCAAACAGTTCAACATTTTAAACCTGAAAAATGTTAAAGTCTTTTGCAGGATTTAGCTTTTAATTTAAACGTTGCTGCCTAATTCCCACTTGAAAATTAGATCCAGTGATCTAATCATTTTTTTTTTGAATAGGTTAAAGGAAATCAAACCAGTTTAATGAGATGCAAGCAAATTATTGCAGTAAGCAGTTTCTTCTGGCATCTTGAAGCTGCTGAGTAAAGCTGTCACACCCCTCCTCCACCCGTTGCTGTAGCTTATACCACTGGCTCTTGTGTTGGGGGTGTTGATGACAGATTCAACATACCTCGCAGATGTTACAATAAAAATGAATCAGAACCATTTAACTGTAGCTTTTACACACATCAATTTAAAGAAAAAAACAAAAACAAAAAACAAGGAATAAATTTAAACGAGTGGACAGTTAAGAAAATCTAAGTTGATATTGACATAAGTATTGCCATTAAGGACAAAACCTGAAATGTACCAATATTGCATACATTTGCCTACCCTTTAGACACTACTAAAAATCGACCACAGTTCTGACACTGCTTCAGTTAAACACAATCCTGAGCTGCATCACAGCCACTGTCACATGACAAAAACAACAACTGATAACCGAAAAAAACCAACGACTACACAAAGATAAATATCGATTGCCAATATATGCCATGGGCCAACACTGAAACTTATCTCAAGACAAATTGTTTAGAAATCAAGATTCCCTTGTAACCCAGCTTAAGACCAAGAAACAAATACAACAGGCTACAACATTGTGGACAAACTGGTATCAAAACAAACTTGGTTTTCAGTGCAGGGATGCAACATAATTTGAATGGAAACAAAGTCTGGTTTTATGCAGAGCTTGATCCTTAAGGAGAGTCTGGTACCAAGGATGTAAAAATGATCCCCGTGAACCAGTAATATTCTTCCCTTTGAGTATTTTGCCTTGTGCTGATAGCTTTTAAAAAGAACAAACAAATCTGTCTACTCATGTGCAGAAGTTTGCACATCAGAACTTTGGTAGAAAGGGTGTCAAAAGTTTTTTTTTTTTTTCCCCTTGTACTGAAAGGAAGAGCTTTGTATGAAAGGTTGATTCTCACTCCAGCTTTTTATTCAACGGTATGGGATAGTTTATAGCCTGATGGGCCTGTCAGACAAACTATTTCTTGTGGAGGGTACTACTAAATGACAAATAGTTTATCATAAGGTTTACAAAAAAAAATAAATCCATTTAGAGGATATTTAGGATGCAAGAGAGCATAACTAGATGCAAAACAGCAAGGTTGCACAAATTACAGCAAATGTGCTTGACTTTCAACTTTTTAAACCACTGTCAGGGAGTAGCCGACTTTGGAAAGGAAGCCAAGATCAACTCTAAGTATCAAATTATGTCACATTTGTTTAAAATAAAAATCCCTTAAAAATGAGATTCTTTTACATGCTGAGATTTCTGTGCCTCCAATATCAACAATAAATCAACATAGTCTACAATAATTTCATATTAAAGCAAACAACTGTTTCGAATGAGACTTTTTGAACACACTGCTTCTAATTTTCAGTAAATACTGATGAAATTTATCCCTGAAACGATGCAAAGATTTCCTTTAAAAGATAAAGCAGAGATTACAAAGGCCGCCTTACGATGGTCAATAGAGCTTTAGGGATAAATGGCCTATCTAGTCCATCTTTTGCTTGAACTGCTGCTGTAAATTGGTTTAAATTATCAGTTGAGCTGTAAACTGATACCCGCAGTTTTCAGGTTGTGTTCATCGCTCGGTGGCAAACCTCACCTTTTCCAGACGCCCTTTCATCTCCAGAACTTGGGGAGCTGCAGCAAAGAAAGGGGAATCAGAGATAACCTTAAAATCCACTTTTTTAACGATAGAAAGGGATCAAAATATTAACATTCCCCATTTACACAGCCCTCACCTGAATTTGGGGGGAGCCGAACTGCTCGGAGAGACAGGAGAGACCGGGGGTCGACTGTCTCCCTCACTGGATCCTGTACTCACAGCACTTCTTTTGGCCCAGGCATTCTCCTTGGGAGGAGGGGCAGGCATCACTTTCAGCGGCTCCTTTGAGGAGCTGGTGGAGGTCGGCCGTGGTGAGGATCCAGGGGAAGAATTCCCTTCTTTCCCAGAGAAAACCTCATTCTCCCCAGACCGTTCGCCATCTAGGCACCTTGAACCTGGCAGAAAAAATACTTTTTAGGAAACTATAAATGCAAAAAATGTTAAATGGCACATGGAAGACGAGTTTATATAAAAAGGAATGCATCTTAAGATCCGTTAGTGAAAACCGGGCGACAAATAGTCTAGCGAAAGTAAAGATACTGCTTAAATATTACCTCCTTCACATTATTGAACAATAAAAGCACTTAAAAGTTGGTTTTATTGCAATTTCAGGATTATTGCTATTAGTAGTACATTTCACTATTATGCACTCCCCTGCACTGATCACATGAAATCAATATTAAACGCATGGGGTTCTATAGTTTTGCTTTGAATACTTCTTTACCGCATAAATGGGAAGAAAAATGATAATAATGTTCACATCCAGCGATGTTTAAAAGACAGGCTTTGCTGTCGGGGTGAAGATCTCACCTCTCCCAGAGGTGCTTCCTGGCTGTGAAGACTCGCTCTCGGTGCGAGATCGCTCAGAATGAGGTTCCTCATTGCGCCAGCTGGGGTCCCTTAAAACATGGATGGAACGTTTAATTTTATAGATACCTAGAAATGACTCTGCAATAGCAAACAAACTAAAACGGATAGGAATACTTTTATATCCATTTAACAACAACATCTGATCACAAATAGAATCAAAAATGTTTTATTAAATGCTACTCCAAACCTCCCATTAATTTCCACGAGAATCTAGAAAAAACAAGAAAAATTTTAATGGATCGGGAGACAAATTTCTAGGCTTCTGTTAGACTATGAACTGGTTTTTGCAGGCGGTGATAGTGGCTAAACATATTTGTTCACTAAAGACTCCCTAAAGTCTCTAGAAGGGCTCTCATCCCATAAACTGAGGATTGTTTGCATCCAACTATTTTCAATGTTCCTGTCATAGGTGGTCATTATCTGGGTGGGTTCCATGAATTTCTACTAATGGGTCAGATCTTTATCTTTTTCATAAAGCTTAGAACTAGATTTTCATATCCTTATTGCAACATATCTGGAAATAGAGATCAATACATTTACTAATATTCCCAATTTGCTGAGACCAGCTATGTTCTTTGTTGTTTTGGCTACAATACAGTTAACATCTGGCCTGGTGTTTCTGTGAGCAATCGGGTGGACTTGCGGGGACATTTTTTGCAGGAAATTTTATAATGCCGCATTTTTTGCTAACTACTCATAACTACAGGTGAGTGAGAAGTTTGTTCTCAAAACAGGAATAAAATGATCTATTTAGAACTGCAGTGCTTAAAGTTCTCAGCCGTAGTGGCGAAATTCTGCCGTGGGGCTAACTGCGGTGGTACTGGAAGAAATGGAGTTGTGAATTGAAAGGCACATTTTTTAAAACTGTCAGAAAAAGTTCCAGGTCCAGATAGCTAACAAGCTAAGAAACAGCTTACTGTAGCCGAATGTTTTGCACAAAGCACCACTCATTACAGGAAAGGAGCAGGGATGCTATGAGCTAGGGTTGTCACGATACTAAACTTTTCAACTCGATACCGATACTAAGTAAAATATTCGATACTCGATACCCTTTTCGATACCACAAGAATAAAAACAAAGATTTTAAAATTCAACAGAAATATTTTCATTACTAAAAAAAATACAAGAAATAAATAAAAAAAACAATAAGAATAATATTTTGAGGTTGTATGCTGTGCACAATATTAAGCAAGCTTGATAAAAAACTTAAAATTAAAATTAAGTGTTCCTTCCTTGGCTATGTTTTGCAGACATAACAATGACACTGGCCAAAGCAGTTAAACAAAAATAATTCTCAGCAGCTGCACCTGTTACAAAAAAAAGTCTGAAACTGAAAAATGCACAGAATTATTCAATCACACAGTGTTTAGAAAATGCATTTTCCACTATTCTGCACTTTAGATGGCTGTATCGATACTTTTTAAAATGAGTATTGTATCCGGATACAACGTTTCAGTATCGATACTTTTTTGAGTATCGATACTTTTGACAACCCTACTATGAGCATAGGCAAACACATGGTGCCTGTTTGTACTTATCGCTTTTCTTAATTAGGAAAAAGAAAAAAGAAAATCTAATTAAAAATAAAATTGGGAGATTTTGCCCAAACCTACTGCAGAGTTAACGTAAAGATATTCAACGTCCACTTTCAATTCATACTTGTTCTAGAGCTGAATTTGCTGCACAGTCAGTTTCCTTTCCTTAGACAGAAAACTTTTTATTTTGTCAACAGCACAACAAACTGAACTTATAGCTGACCTGCTATCTGTTTAAATCAATCAAACCTAGACTGCTACACAGTTCTGTGATATTGAATTAAACAGTAAACAAATGGCTTTAATGATACAGTTTCTTATATTGTTGCTAGCATAGGAACCACACGCCCTTACCGGTCCCTCATCTTTCTATCAGGTCCTCGGCTTTTGTCCACCTCAAGTTGTCTTTGCAGCCTCTCCTCCTCTTTCTTCAGCCTCTCCTCCACCTCCCTCTCCTTGGCTGCGGTGTCAACTGGTTTTGCCCCCCCAAATATGGACGAGGACCTGCCTCCAGAGGTTGGAGGGACAGCTGGGGATGTACCCCCGCTGCTGGTACCTTCCTCCTCTTTCGGTACACTGCGGGGCTTCAAATTCAACTTGGGTCTTTGCTGAGGGGCTGGGGAGGGAAAACAAAGTTGGAACATGTCTTCCAAACACAGAATGGATGCATGTATGTTAACTTAAAACTGCAGGCAGGAGTAAATTAACAGACTACTGCAGTGGTGTGTGGATTCATTTGGTGTTGAGATTAGGAATAGAGACATTGATTCACACTAATCAATACCTGGAAAACATCAACTTAAATAGTCATTCTTTTTTTCCAGACTGCATACAAACTCTAGAAAAAAAAAAAATGCATTAATGTGAACTCACCTCTCTCCTCACGCCTTTCATCTCGTCTCTCGAACCGGTCTTCCCTGTCGCCATAACGATCTCTGTCGCCGAAGCGATCATTACTACCTCGACCATCTTCGTAATCTCGACGGAAGCTGCTTCCAAAGGCACGGCGCCCTCCCCCACCTCGGGAGTCAAAGCCTGAAAAGACAGGCAGAAATGATGAGGCTGTAAACGGGAAAGAGCTAACCCAAGTAACCAGCAGGGGAAGGAAGGTCAGGAGCAAACAAAAAAACAAACACAAAAAAACTCACCTCCTCTGTCGTCATAGCGATCCCTGCGGTCCCTGTCATCATAGCGATCACGGTAGCGGTCTCTTCCTCCATCGTAACGATCGTCCCGCCGTGACCCTTCTCTGTAACGGTCGGACTCGTAGCGGTCGCGTGATCCTGAGACGGGATAAAAAAGAACTAGGACCCAACTGGATTTCTTCCCTAAACACTTTTGAATAAAACTTTTCCTATTAGAACACATTTTGTTCTATTTCACATTTTTGGTTACACTAAAAAAGCTGGCTATGCTCTAAAAAAAAAAAATTCGTCAGCTAAACCAGTACCAAACCAGTCATAAAGGCTAGGTTCACACTGCAGGCCTTGATGCTCAATTCTGATTTTTTTTGCGGTTCATATTTCCAAATATATGCAACTTGTATGTGATCTCCTGTGTGAACTGCAGTCATACAACGAAAGTGTCCCGCATGCTCAGTAGAGGACGCAATGACGTCACAGGCCAGCATGCTCTTTTTGCCGACACGCATCTAGCGGAAAAAAGGAATAGATCTGCCTGGCGCTTAGATACCATATAAAAAACTTGATAGAAACACTTTGCTTTAATCTGCTTCTGTTTAAAGTTTCTGTAACCCACTGATTAATAATAATCAGTGGGTTAGTTGTTCTCATGCCTGTTGTTGTTGAATATTGTTCTCCAATGTATCTCACAATATCCAGCCTTTTTGAAGAGTCAACACTACAAAATGAGGAGTAAACATATGTGTTATTGATGTTACTACTGTATCAATGATCAAAAATGAAAAGGTTGTATTGGGATATCCCCTACTAATTATGTTGTTATATAAACAGATATCCTCATTATGTAGGCCAAACCTAAACGAGGGAATATGAAAAACAACAGTGCTAACCTACTACAGATTATGACTTACTTTCTCCAAAAGCATCGTCCCTCCTGGGAGGTCCGTCATCACTGTCCGCACTTGGGCGAGCTCTCCAGTCACTGTCTGTCTTGTCAGGACCCATGTCTGCCATTCGTCCACCCCTGTCTCTGCCTCCCATGCCTCCATCTCTTTCTGAAAAAAAAAAAAAAGAAAAAAGATATTTTATCCAGGATTGAAATGTACCTTTCCTGATTAAAAGTTTCAGACTTCATATTCCTTTTCACCAAATTTCTGGCAGACATATCCCCCATTAACACTAGCCCTCTGAAATTAATCCATGCCGAATTTGGACCGAGCTTGAATCAGATAACCGTGCCGAGCTTAGTTCTAACAACCATTTACAAATCAAGCTAGCATGGTTCCTCACCTCCTATTGGGAGTTCACTATGCTACAGTTCTCGAGGTGAGAGTTACGCAAACAAAAATGGCGCCGCCCATAACATTCAGGAACATCTGTGCCTGGATAGCGTAATTGGCCCAAATTTTAGTAAGAGCCTCGATTTCGGCATCATCCCAGGTAAGACCACACTCTTTTGATGCCATTTATTGTTAATAGGCTGAGAGGAAGTTTGTGTTGTGAACAGGTAAAGAGATCTGTGAATTGCAAAGGCCATGCAGTAAAACATGCAAAATGATTCAGCTGACTAAGGATGAGAGGATGTGGTCTTCTCAGGCACTCTTTGTTATCAGAGAACCTAGCCACAACTGATCCGTGCCTAGCACTACTGTTGAACTAGTAATAGATTTAGCATGGTTCGGTTATGTCTGACATGGTCCAGATCAGTTGTGCTCCGTTTACACTCAATAGTTATCTCGGTTACAGTGCTTGGACCGCTCCCAACACAGTTTCAAAAGGGTAGTGAAAATGGGGCTACTATTACAGAGGACATATATTAAAACTGGTAGATGAATGTTAAACATACGAAAAAACTGAAAAAAAAAAAGAACAAGAGGACATAAAGCAAAAAATAAATAAAACTGGGATGAAGGGAAAAAAATGACATAAGATAGAAAAGAGGAATAAAGTAAACAAGGAAAGAGGGAAGCAGAGAAAAGGTATTTTTAGATAATTATACTGGAGTACCAAAAATGTCCAATACTGTTTTCTTTATCTATACTTGTAGACATTGGAACAAAAAAGCGAACTGGAAAAACTGCAGTCAAATCCCAGACCTCAGAGCAGTGTGACTGTGTTGTTATATCCATGTAAATGGTTTAAACCTCCAAATATCTACAGCCATCAACCTTAAACCCTATAAACACAGATTGAGGGTCTTTAACTTTTATGTTTTTGCATCATTATACATATATACACAAAGTATATTAATCTCGCATTCCTGAATTGCTACAAGGAACAACAACTACTTTGGGTTTGGCAATGTTAAGCTATCAATTTTAATTGACCGAATAATGACCAAAACACATCCATCTTCTTTAAAACCTGCGTTTTGTCTTGCATCAACGCTCGTTATTAATTCATTACTTGAGGACTTTTTCTAATATGTTGACATTAAAAAGTAGCATATTACTATATTCAAACAATTTATTTTGCCATCTTTATAATCAGAATCGTTGGTTGCTGAAGTAGAACTGCAACCAATGATTATTTTGCCAATCGATTAATCTGTTGATAATTTTTTTAATTAAATCCATTAATACTCAGATATTAAGAGGTTCCTTCAAAGAACATTTTTACAGAAATAAACTAAGTCAAAATAAAACTATCAGCTAAAGACATGTTTTAGAATCTCTATACTTCTGTTGTAATCGATTACTAAATTAGTTGATGATTATTCCAATACTTTTTATTAGCGCAGTTATTGTTTCAGCCCTAGACAGAAGTAAATATTTTGAGTATTTATTGCTAATAAATATTCAAGTGAAGTGTCGACCTAGTGGTTAGAGCAGTGTGCCTGTGCTCTGAGAAGGTTGTAAGTACCTGGTTCGATCCCTACAGCCTCCAATCTGGGTTCCTGAGCAAGACCCTTAACCCCATACTACTCCGCGCAATGGCAGCCCTTTGCTCCCCCAAGGCGATGGGTTAAATGCAAAGAGTGAATTTCCCCATTGTGGGACAATAAAGGCATTTTATATTTACATAGTAAACATGTTTTTAAACAATTACATTTGTTTTGTCCATGTTTTGGTAAACAGAAAACAAACAAAAAAATCACCTTTATCATTTGACTGGTCTGCAATATCCACTCGAATCCTTCGGTTCCCTAAGTTCTGTTGACATGATCAGGCAGAAGAAAATATCTTAAAATTTAGTCGTCACTCTGTGAGGTCACATCACACAAATATTTGCATAAAATACAATTTGCATAAAAGCCGAACCCTTTCTTACCTCCTCATTCAGGCTGAGAGCCCTGAGGAGCGACTCCAGGTCATCAAACTCGGCATACCCGAAGCCCTTCAGCCTCTCTGGATTACTGAGCTCTCGAGGCAGACGCACAGCGCTGATCTGGTGGTTAAAAATACAAGAGAGGAAGTATTTGAATCGAGCAAATGCATCACAAACTCAAGTTAAACTGAGTCATAAATAAAGCTTTATCAAGGTTTATACAGGAATGAATAACTAACTTAATTCTTTTTAATGCTCTTAGAAATAATTTTAATGCCACCAACAGGTACCCATCGACAGGCTGCAGCCATGTCTCGATTTCCTGGTTTTCCAGCCACTTTTGTTGAAATTGGCATTTTTCCCCCCATTCTCTAGCTTTTTCTGAACATTTGGCTTTGCGATCAACTGAAAGCAGTTCCACACAAATATATCGAGATATAATATGTTTGACGAAATTTTTTTTTATAAACATTTTTTTAAGAAAGCATTTTAAATGCCACAATAAACACATTTAATGACTTGGCTTAATGCCAATTAAGGCCTTAATTTAAAAAATAATAAAGACATTTAATGATTTTTAATGACCCGCAGAAACCCTTTTTATATTGCCAATTTATTAAGTAAAGAATAAAGATTAAACAAACAGTTTGATTCATTGAAAAACCAGAAGTTATTGTCGTTTATTGCTAGAACAAAATGGCTTAGAGATCGTCTACAGGCAAGCTAATATACTGAAGGGACAGCCAACCTTAAGTAATTCTGACAAATATAAAGTTAAAGCCTTTCAAACATAACATTCAATTTATTGCATGTGTTTCAATTTTTTGTTTGTTTTTTAAAGAAATTGGTAAAAAAAAAAAAAAGAACTTGTTTATGGTTTGGATTGTTTCATAAAAATGAATGCAAAAAAATCTGAACTTCAATTTAAAGAGAGACTTTTTGTAAGTTTTTTTTTGGAAAATAATTTTTAGAACAGCCATGTGATAAGATTGGACCATTTCTGACCAAAACACCATTTAATGAGCAGACTGACACCTCAGTAGTTCAGAGCCAATGCATCTATAAGCCTGCAGCCATTTTTCCTGAATGTAATTCGGGTTGGAAGTTCTGATGCTGTTTCTACGAATTTGACATCCGTGTTTAGTGGATCCAATCTAGCAAACAATCAAAATGATTTTGCGGCTATTCTTAAGCGACTGGTCTCCAGCTCAAATAAGACACCAATAGGAACTCTACATAAGGTGAAAAAAGTAAAAAAGAAGAATGAGCATGAGCTACAAGAATGAACAGAAGAGTGCTAAAGTTCTGTGTTTTTTGCCAATGTGAAAGCATCATCAGTAGAAACCCTAATGCCTCTTTAAATAAGGATCATAGATTACAGAGCTTTTACATAAAAATATAACATTTTGAATTTCCCCTCAGGATCAGTCAAGTCTGTTTTTAATAGAATTTGCATAAAATATAACAGGTTAAGAAAAATGTCCTTGTATGATGCAGGTTGACATCAGACTGATTCTGCATCATTGCAGCATGACATGAAGTGGATAACGTCTGTGCTGGTGTGTGAAGAAAGTTCTGGATAAAGCTTACATGCAAAAAGTTACATTTGCCTCTGAGGCAACACAAAGGAAGAGGAGGCCTTTTTTTGATTGATAAGTAAAAAGAGAGAGAGAAAAAAAGGGAGAAATGTTCAACAGCAACAAAAAAAACAAAAAAAAAAACATCTCTACTTAACGCCCATTTTTAGACATGCTGCGAGAAAAGACTTCTTCCCAGCCATTGTGATGAAAGCAAGCATGAACTCCAAGACGCATTATGTTCATGTTTCTCCTCCAATGAGCTTCCCATCAACATGCTTAGATAAAGCACTGAGCAGCTAGCTTCTTATGGAATGACCTGTTCTGGTCTGTGGATGGTGTCATTGACTGCCTGCTGAAATACCGTCACGTCATCTATTCTCCCTCTAATGAAACAGACTGTATATTACCAGAAAAAATATTGTCTTCTGTAATATTTTGACTTTGTGAGAAATTGTTTTGGTGTTTTCATAAGAAGTTGTTCCCTATTTTCATACCTAGCAAAATCTGTGCTTAAGAATGTATGATGTGACCATAAAAGTGTCTAGTCTGAAATTCAAAATGAGCAAAGACTGATTTGAAGTATTCAGAGTATGCTTTGACCAATATACCTTATATACTTTGCAATTGAGAACCATGTTTTAATGAAAGGGAATCGTGTTTACATTGTAAGTAAATTGTGACATTCCTAGTATGCTGGTCTGATAGCTTGACTTACCGCCAAGCCACTTGACTTACCGCCAAGCCACGGAAGAAGTCTTTTATCGAGTCCTCTGTGACATCATAGGGCAGGTTTCCCAGGAAGGCGGTGTAGGGTGGGCTGCGCGGCAGCCTGGAGCGGTCGATGTTGGGCTCACGAGCCGATCGAGGGGCCGTAGGCAGGATGGAGCGGTCGATGGGAGGAGCCCTGTACGTATCCTCCTCGGTGTGCCACGATGTAGCCACTAAAACGATTCAAAGAGGATACATTTTGGAAAAACAGCACAAAAAATGATTTTATCTAGTTTATTTAGATGACTTGGAACTTCTTTATTTGCTTGTTAAACCCCTCTATATGATTTTTATTTCAATTAATTAAAAAAGCATTCTAATCGAAAAAAGAAAAACTAAGACTGGTGAGGTTATTACAATACAGGAAAACCCCAGAAGCAGCTGCATGACAACAAACGCCAAACAAAAAAAAAGAAAAGGAACAAAAGGCATCAGTCAAAACCATTTACTACGCTCTTTACTCAGAGGTCAATCGGATAATTTATTTAAAGTACTTTTGAAAGAAAAATAAATTCAAAGTTTGTTTCATAATATTGTGCATTCAAAATATTTTCACAGTACTCAACCTTTCCCACCTATTCATTCAGGATATAGCTGTCAGAAGCATTTACATTGTCAGCTGAGAGGTCAGCAAACATTAACCAGAAGGAATATCCTTCTCATATCAGCAGATGCATTCAAACTGGAGGTAAAAACACCACACACCTAAAATGCTGACCAGTTTTTTTCCTTTCCCTTCTGTTGTATGTTTGTAAAACCAGTGGTTGATGCCTCCATCCCGATACATTTCAGCTTGCCTTAACCTCACACTAGCTTCTCATTTTACAGTCAGTCCTGCCTAAAAACAACTCATGCTAACAGTGACACCAATCAGGTGTTTCACTCATCTAAAAGATTATGAGACAAATAATTTTCCCATTTGTTTTGGAGGAAACAATTTCACCCCTCCCACTTACACAGGATCTTTGAGTTAAGCTTAACTGCCTCCACAACATAAATATACTCCTACATATATAGTTACATATAGGTCTAGTGATCACATATGTCGAGTTGTAGTTAACAGTTAACACGCATGTGATAATGGTACAAATCGGCATTCAGACAAAATTTTATATGGGACTGAAGAATGAAGCATTACAATGAATGAACCACCTGAATAAACCATATTGAAAACAGTTTTAAGTAAATGGGAGTCATTATCTGCTAGATTGGGAACGGGTCTAAAACCTGGCAAAACCAACAATGCTGTTTGATTTAAAATGTTTAATTGGGGTATATGTGGAAAAAAAAAATCCCCTTAAACACAAGTGCTGCCTCAAAAGAGTTTTTTTTTTTATTATTATTATTATTCAAAGAAAAGGATTTGCTCACCATCTCCGTCCAGGTCATCAGTCTCATCAGCCCAGTTTGTGGACTTGGCTGGGTAACTGGGAGGAGCAGGAGTGCCACCTCCACCATCCTCTGCCAGGAAGTCGTTGAGCGTGAGGGTCTTGCCCTTCTTATTCTTCTTTTTAGCTGCAGGAAAAGATGGACCAGTCAAAAATACACGCTGGTTTTGGTGCATTAGATACACTTTACCAAGTACTTTTAGAGATATACGGCTATATTAAGCAGAGAAAAATACATTTTTGGTCACTTCAACTTGCAATTCAGATTTCAGATTATTTGTAATGTTATTTCAATTTCAATAAATTTCTATATTAATTAAAAGTAAAGGTGAATCTATAGACCAGAGATTTAGCTGCAACAGACCAGCAGGTCAAACAACAAACTTCTGGATTTTTAGCCATTTTTCTCCATTCAACAAAGTGCTTCAAAATTTAAAGTTTCAGAACATGTTTGCAACAACAAAAGCTGCCTAAGTCAACATTTCACAAGCATCTGCCTCATAATTTTGGAGTTAAACAGATGGAATGCAAACATCAAAAATAAATCTAGCCATTGCTACCTCTGTCTAAAAAACATGCAGCATTGTAGACCTAAGTCAAACCTGAAGGAAAAAATGGGAACCTGTATTGACCAAGATGCCCAACAGTGTAGCTCTTGTATAATGAGGTCAGCAAAGCTGAACCGAGTGCAAACACCCACTAACCTCTAGGTGCTTGACTTCTACTACAGAGTTTGTTGTAAAGCCAAACACCTTAGTTTAACTGCAAATACCAATCATGTTCATAACTGCCTCATAAAAACGAATATTTAAGCCAAAGAAGATATGCTTTCAAATCCTATTATCAGGGTATACTTCAACATGATCAAACATCTACACAAAATAATAAGTTTCAGTTTCTTCTGACTTAAATACAGGTAATAAATAGAGGTAAACGTGCCCATATACGTTGTTTAGTTGCTAGTACATGTGTGATATACTATTAAAGCATCTATATCAGCACCCAGGACTTTGATGTTTATTTTATTTTGTGCTAAGGTTAAGTTAAGGCACACCGTTTGCTGGCTTCTGTGTCTTTTCAGGCTTAGTCAGCAAAGGGCTGCTGGCGGAGGGAGGGAGGGGGAAGTATCCCTGTTTAGCTGGCTAGGTTTTAGGGCCTAGTGCAACGTTGCAGCCTCCCGATTCTAGTGCGCCATCAGCGAGGCAAGACTCGTCCGCCTGGGAGAAGGGAGCCCAAAGTTAAAGGAGCTAAGCTGGGATACGGACCGGATGCGACCCAATAGGTCAGCATGACCCGTTTCATTAGAGACCAGGTGCCTGGGAGCGGCGCCGCACACGTGGGAGAGACACCAGGCGGCCCGGACTCCTCGGCCCAACCCCTCCTCCACAAAACGCGCCTGCGCCCGACCGCTTGTTTGCCCGTAGCGCCACGGCGAGCTTTGCCGCTGACTTACAATGTGCCAAACTCCGCACGCAGTTAGCAACCTTTTCCTACGTGTTACCTAATCTGCTAATCGGTAAATAAACCGACGTACGCCCATACATAGGTTACATTCTTCTAATAAAAAAGTCATTTTCTTCCTTTATTTGAAGGCCGAAGCATTTCAGATTACAAATCGTTGCTTCGTTCATTCGGCTTCTCTGCCAGCTTCGCCTTTAGCGAGCTAAAACATCCCATAAACGAATTTATAGGCACCAGACAACTAGACGAAGCGTTCACAGACCCGATAGCAATCGTTTTAATTCATGTCTCAAACTGTCCGGAGATATAACCCCGTGGAATTCCAACTAAACGACCCGTACCGTTCACCCACATAAACCTCACCTGACGCCGCCATGTTGGAGAAGCAGTTCGTTGAAGTTCCCGGATGAACGCGTCAGAGGTTTATTGTCGGGAGCGCGCATCGCCGTTCACGGGCCTGTACCTCCTCCCTTGTTTACTCCCTGACCCACATCTGCCCAGTGCTTGTTTTCTCTTCAGTTCGCCACTGAATCCATCTGCATCAGAATCAGAATAATCCATTATTTACATTAATTCAAAATAAATGTCCTCTTTTATTTATCAAGAACTTAAATAAAATACAAAAAAAATCATGAACAATTTTGCATTTTTAAATAATTTATGTTTGTCTTTTAACTACAGATGTACAACAGAAAAGCCTGAATAAAAATACTATGTAACTGCTATATATCACAAATTGAAATTAAGCAATAAATACATGGTTTTACATTCCTCTATTTTTTTCTTTCGTAGATATCTGTGGACATTGTATCACTATGATGGTCCAGCTGTTTGTCAAGACAAAAAATTGAGAGCATAGCAATATTAATGTTTATCTTATTTATGTACTTATAAAAATTCAAATTTAATTTAACCATGAGCCAATGTCCGTACTCTGTTTGTTAATGTTTTTTTTTTTATTTTCATAGATTTTATATTAGCACTCTCACTGTTTTAAAGTGGCTTAATATGAGCTTTCCTGTTTTTGCATTAACAGTGTAAATCAACTGCTCTGAACTGAAACAAATAGACCATTCTTTTATTACATTACATAACATATTTTACAAATGCGTATTCAAATTTTAAAATGAGAGGAAATAAATGCATCTAACAATATGAGGAGATAATTGCTTCCTATCTTGACCAAACTCTATTGGAGGTAGACTTTGGACTAGGCTCAACCCCTTCACAGTGACCACAGTGGTGTGATCAGGGAATCAGGGTTGTGTATAAACCAATGATGGACAATAAAGCCCAGAAAAGGAAAGCTCTTTCATAAAATCCATCCTACGAGTGGAAGTTTTTTTAGATTTTAGTGACATTCAAACACAAACCTCAGTGCATTTTATTAAAACTTTGACGTCATGGACCAACTCAGAGTTGATCATCATTGTAAGCAGAGGCTCCAAGCAAAATTTGATGTTAGTGCACTTTATTTCTGCCAATAACATTTCTTGTTCTACTCAACAGTTCATGATCAGATCATTCATGATTCGGTTGTGCAAAAGCAATGTTAAAAAATAACCCCTAGTTTAATAACATCAACAAACAAATATATAATAGATTTGCTAAATAAAAATAAATACAATGGTACAAACAGACACAGATAAATCAAAGAATAGAATAAAAACATGTTCCTAAAAAATGAAAAATAAAAGAATACCGGGAACCAGGTAGGAACCAGGTATGAAATTCATCTTTTAAAAAAACTATAGAAATATAACTATATGCAAAAGCTCCATTCAAAAACATAAGCCACTTTTACTCAAAGATGTGACTTTTTTACTGTAACTTTTTGAAAAATCCACTCACTCCTTAAAACTTGCGCTTCTTGCTTTTGTGTTTGCAAAGTCACTAATGACATCACTGTAGGAGATCTGATAGCCAACTTTGCTGTTAATACTAATCATTCTACTCAGTCATTCTTGTGCAATGCAGATCTCAGGTCATTTTTTTTGTAGGAGAGTGCAGGTCATCCTCAAAGCTACTCAAAGATTTGGGAGGGACCAGATCTCATTTTGAGAGGAACATGAACAAGAGTCTCTGAACAAGACCCTTAACCCCACACTGCTCCCCGGGCACCGCACAATGGCAGCCTGCTGCTGGTTAAATGCAGAGAGTTGATTTTGTTGCTCTGTACTTGTGACAGTGTAATGACAATAAAAGCTGAAAAAAAGGGAAACAAAGCCATTTACAACTTTATCAAAGCCTCCTCATGCTGTTAGAGAGCGACGGTCATTTCTTTCCTGGAGTTTTTCCACAATGTATTGCACCGAAGCATGAGCTGCTGCTCGCTCGCCATGTTTTCCGTTGATCCGTCCACGTACTTATATATTTTCCAAGGTGCTATGTGTGGAAATCCTGTCTGCAGGGAGTCCACATGGATGCCCAAAATGACCATCATGAACATGTCAAGCATAAACCAAGCTTCAGGAGTCATATATGCCTTGGGCTGGCCCTGATTGTGAAGAGTAGAAGAATATGAATCGAAAATTATGAAAAGTGTTGCAGGTAATTTAATTTCAGAGTAATCTGTGTTCCCCTGTGAGGTTTGTTAGAGAACATTAGTAAACAATCAGCATTGTGAAGACCAACGAAGACAGTATGCAGGGGGGGAATAAAGCCGTGGTGAAATTTAAAGCAGACTTCAGTTATAAAAAAACCCCCCAAAAAACCCAGGCTTTAAAATTCTGGCTGACATGTTAACATTCCCAATAAAAACACAAAACAACAACAACAAAAACAAACAAAACACTGAAACGGGTTGAAAGTGTATGATTGGTTTGGAATGAAGCAGATCATGTTCAGACCTTTGCAAATTTGAATCTTTGTGGTAAGACTTCTCTGATGAACTCCATCCGGTCAGACTGAGCTTGAGCTAATTTGCATAGAAGAATAGGCAAAGCATGTCTCAAAATATGCAAAGCAGGAAGAGGGATAGTTTTTCTCAAAAATCTTTCAGCCGTGAATGCAGACTCAGGTGGCTGAATACTAATGCATCCTTTTCAGGGATTTTTTTTTTATTTTTAGTAAATGTATAAAACCAAATATCATTTTTTTTCATTTCCTAAAGGTAGATAACATGATCTCTTAGTATGCGAAAAAAAAAATCCTTGAAATTCAGTCTGGATCTCATTCTTTATCTCTACTTCTGACCCACTCACTTGTCCGTCTAATTTATAAAACTCTTTGACATAATTTTTTATATATTTAGCAGTTTGTTTAAAATTTCAGGAATCTGTTATAGCTCTATAAATCCAATGAATAACCACAAACCATGACAGCAGGGGAACAGTTTCTTTTATTGATTGAAACAGACAATGGGTGTTTCTGGATCAAAGCGGTTTCATTGTGTATTTTGAATTTCACTTAAAAAAATGCATCATGCGGAGCAGCAAGATGCATTTTTTTCCCATGGCTCTAGATTGTGGGTGCAGGCTTCCATTGTTCTTCTTCTGGCATTCTGTACTGAATTAACTTGTAGCCTCTAGCTCCTCCAGTGCATCTTGGAGCCTGTGCAAAACATCGGATACATTTTTTCTTTATAATCCTGATTGAAATTATGAAACCAAGGAGATGAAACCATATACATTTTTGTATCCCCTATCTCACAATTCTTACTTAAAGTCTCCACCATCCAGCAGACCCTTATAAGTGCTGATCTCAGCCTCTAGCTTCATCTTCATGTTGAGCAGGGCCTCGTACTCTTGGGTCTGGTGCTGAATGTTCGCCCGCAAGTTTGTGAGTTCTGCCTCCAGGCGGACTAGGATGTTGTTATACTTTTCCATTTCCATGTTGTAGCGTTGCTCTGTGTTTTGTAAGGTGTCTTCTAAGGAGGCTTTCTAAAAAAAACGAGTGAGAAATTGTATAAAAGATTTTTTCAAAAAATTGTTCACTTGAATAAATAAAACAAATCTGAGTGAATGAAATGCAACAGTTTTGCTCCTTAAATATCAAGTATTGCAAAAACAATTTTTAATCCATCTTGGATTGTTTAAAAAAATCCCCCCTTCAAAAGGTGCACAGCTTGTTTCTAGTACTTACTAAGCTCTGCTGAGATGCAAGTTCAATTTCCAGGGTTTGTATCTGTCTGATTAAATCGCCTCTCTCCATCTGAGCCCCCTGAAGTGCTTCTGTGTTCTGTGATACCTGGACCTGCACGTCTGAAATCTGAAATAAGAAGGGGAAAAAAACAACACGTGTTGACCAAACAACACAAGTCTAATCATTTCACTTTTCCTTATCACCATTCATTACCTGGTTTTCATGCCAGCGCTTAAGGTCCTCTGCATTCTTCATGGCGATCTTCTCATAATTGGCTCTCATGTCCTCCATAATTTGAGACAGGTCTTGACCCTTTGGAGCATCCACGTCCACTTGCACGCCAGAGTGAGAGATCTGATTCCTCAGCTCCATCACCTCCTGTAGGACAAGGATGTAAAAGTAACTAATCGTGCTGACTTTTAACTCCTCATCCTTTTAATGAAAGATTTACGGCTTTTTTCCGTAGTTTTACACGTTACAGGAAAAGCATTTTTATTGCTGCCTTTGCAAAGCTCAGCTTGAGAGATTAGTTTGACCTTGTCAAAATAATAGATGAACAGATTCTCCTATCCTTAATAACCAACTCATTATTTTCCTTTAAAATATAAGGAAATAAATTACCTTCTTACACAGATTGCTGCAGTTTTTTTTTTTTTTTTATTAAACACGGTTCTGCCAAAGGCTAAATTTTACCTGTCATTCTTTGCTTTTTTATTTAGTCTAAAAAAAGTTGCTGGAAGCCATAATTTCAAGAATGTAACATTATAGTCAATGCAAAAATTATTTCATGTTACCTCCCTAAATGGGGATAAAAGAGGGTTAACACTGGGAGAACAAAAAAATTCTAGACCTTTGCTTTTATATCAATACCTTAGAGATAATTGGCGCCCCCCTGTGGTCAATATTATATACACATATTAAGTACTGTCAGATTGCTGTACAATAGAAAATCTAATGTTTTGCATTCAGCCTTATCAAAACTGCTGTTTCTCTTTTATAAACTCTAGTGTAAAATATGAAATATTTAGTCAGAGCTCCAATGGAAACTTCTGCACTGAATATAGGTTTTATTTTTTTAATAAAAGAAAACATTTTCAGTGGCTTCAAAAGAATCAAATTACTTTAGATTGTTTGAAATGATAGGGTGTTTAAAACTGGAATAAAATACACATGATCTAAAGTAAATGTACTTTTTGGTGAAATTTCAACAACATGTAAAAAAAAAAGCACATTCCTTTTAAATTATATTGCACAAAGTCTTTTGAATTTAGATGAAAAATGTTTGGTGAGGGATCCGTTTTATTTTAATAGCAGTGACTGTCTGTAAAGCTGATGTTTTCTGCTTGGTAGTGAGGCTTCATCTTCAAAGTGAAAAACAAACTCAGTGACTCTGTAACTAATGCCTGTTAAAGCCTGCAAGGCCACAGATAAATCCAGCGTGGTTTGTAAGCAGTCAAGGCGACTCTCAAATAGTTAGGATATCAACATTGTTGTAAAAATATTTTTTCTTACAGATATTTTGTAACATAGATACATTTACTTGACAAAAAAAATTGACGTATTATTGTTATTATTTTTTTTTATCTTGGTTTAAAATGAACTATCTGAAAATGTTTCAGGCGATTCCTGTAAGTTTCCAGAACCCCTTGAGCAAAGTGTAACTTTGTAGGACGTTTACCTTGAATGAATTTTCTGTTCAGAGTTATTCAACAATAAATGGTGTCCTTGAAAGCAAAGTGATAGAAATAACCCAGAGGCTTTGAACTCACATTTTCATGATTTTTTTTCAGGAAATGGAGCTCTTCCTTCACAGCCTCAATCTCACTTTCGATGTTCATCCTGTTCATGTTGGTTTCATCTATGACTTTCTTCAGGCCAGCAATGTCGGCCTCCACAGACTGACGGATTGCCATCTCATTCTCAAACCTGTTGCAGGTTAAACATGCAAACTTTATTCATTAAATTCTACAAAGTACCAACAGTTGAAGGAAACGACAGTCAGTTATGCTACATACTTCACTTTAAAGTCGTCTGCAGCGAGACGGGCGTTGTCGATCTGGAGCACATATCGAGCGTTTTCTGCAACTTTGTCAAAGATCTGGATGAGAGAAATGAGTATTTTTGCAGCATTATTTGCATTTGCAAACTATATACCATAAAGTGTGTATAACTGAGGATATAGTGCCCCTGGAACATGGTTATCTGTCTGGATCCTCCACTCATGTGGAGCGGTTACTTCCCCTTTGTGAACAGTAGAAAACCAAGAGTACACAGTGAAGCACTGTGTAAACCATAGCCACATTTGTTCATAATAAAAAGGAACCATAAATTGCAGAATAGGAAGAGGGGACGTTCCTCTGCCAAACAGAAATCGGTTGTTTTAGTGTTGCTATATGAACGGGCTTCCTGTCTGGATAAGTCACGCACATAGCCTTTTCTTCTCTTCAGCTTTCGGCTGCGCTGTTGCTGTCAGTCATTTCTATCCCTCTGTGGGTTTATGGGTACACAGATCGGGGAAATTCCTTCTAAATGACTCTCAGCATTTTTTGTGGTCAAACATCCTGCCACGGTAGAAAGGCTGAGTTTTTGTCCAATCTTTGCCACCATAGATGTGACATTATATGATACTGAAGCACTTGGACCTTGGATAGGAATGTGACCTTTTGACTTTGTGGGACTGGAGCTGATTATTATACAACCATAGCAGTGCAGACATCTTTCAGTGTGTGTGTGTGGATGCGGTTACTACACATCTGTTTCCTATTGAGGCCCTCCCACACCAGAGAATGCTTGTAGAAAATCTTTCTAACAAGCAGATTCTTTTGGATCTGTTTTTGTGCTTTTTCTTCTTCTGGGGGCAGGAGAGCCTCAGATTGCCTCTTGTGATTCGAACCTCGTGTTGATGATTCATCAGAGGAAGTTCTGGTCAGATTGAAACACTGATGAAGGTTTTGCAAAGGGAGGGTGGTAGCTTGGCAACCACACCCTTCATTTTCATGCATGAAATCTGATAAGTTTGAAAGGAAATGCAAAAGCCGCCGTAGAAGTCTCAGCTAGGCATCTTTAGTCAGAAACACACCTAAAGGGGCGCATTTTCACAACCTAAACTCAATTTTTTTGTCATTTTTTGTAAACTGTAGGAATCTAAAGTCACAGATTAAAGCACTGCAAAGTTTTCATCTCACCTGGTTGCGAAGGTCTTCAATGATTGGCTCATACTTGCTGTAATCTGTTGCGTCCCGACCTCCCTTCTCCAAGGCCTCCCTGATGTTAATCTCCAGCTTCTTGTTGGCCGCCTCCAGGTTCCTCACCGTCTCCAGGTAGTTGGCCAGACGGTCGTTCAGGTTCTGCATCGCTCCCTTCTCATTGCCAGGGATGCTAGAACTGCCTCCAGATGCTGCAGCTGCCCCGCCGAAGCCGGCACCCGACCTACCACTCAGAGCTTGGCTCAGGTTGAAGCCACCGGAGGTGGACATGGGGGCACCGGAGCGCAGGGAGGATGCAGAGGCGGCGGAGATGCGAGCACCCTGTCCACCAGCCCCACCATAAATGCTGGCAGCTCGGTACTGAGGAGCAGAGCGGGTGAAGGAGACCCTGCTGGATGTTCTATAGCTCATTTTGAACAATTTAAAAGAAGAAATGTGAAAAGAAATCAGAGATGTAGAGAGTGGCTGCTGGCTGGCTGAGAAAGTGACGCTGGCAGAGGGGAGTTGGAAACTTATAGTGCTGCCTCTCTCCTCCAATAACAGCTGGCCTCTCAGACCCAGCCCACTTCAACATCCACCACTCTTTGTTTCCTGACCCACTTCACCGCTCTTTCCTTCTGTCGTCTGCTCACATGCTTCCTCTTTTTAAAACCACACTGTGTTTGCTGTTGCCATGGAGATACACGAAACACTTTTTGGCTGTCAAAAAAGCTTTAAAGTTGTAAAACCAAAATGAACCCCAGACATAGATTATTAATTAAAGCAAACTTAAAGACATATCCTGCTAAAACGAAGATTTTTGTTTTTTTAAAGGTGAGGGAAAAGTAAAACTGAGCACTAAGGTTTAAAGTTGCTGTGATCTGCATGGCAATACGGAAGGTGCTCTGAATAACCATTAGGGGTTTCAAGGCTCTAGTCTCCACCTATTCAAGGCAAAATCCTTGTGGTTTTGTCCATAAAAGGCGTAATGAAACAGATGCTGCATAGTTTCTGTGTTTGTGGTCAGCAAGGCCCAAAATAAACAGCTTTAACCAGCCTTCCTGTCTACCCAAGCTAGACTCAAGATAAGAGAGCTACGGATATTAGAAACAAGACCCAACTGATCTCCTCTTGAACACATACTTTGAACGCTGAACTCCTTTGCAAAAGCTTTGCAAAAGTATTCAACTTTTTTTCTTTGTAAATAGATGCTTCGGCGTATTGTCTTGGGATTCTGTTGATATGTAGATCATGAATAGACAGTGACTGGACAGGGATGCATGGCTTTCAACATTCTTAAGTAAATTATGTGTAGCTGAACTTCTATAAGTTTCCATTTTCTTTGTGGAATAAAATTGTATTATATCTACGGCTAAAGGTCTTTTCTAAAGTGACTCTTTGCACATTTGGAGAAATAACTCACCTTTCGAAAGAAAACATGAGCTCTGTCAGAACGTACAGATAATTTCAGTGAACAGCTATGATCAAGTCTTTCCCCCACTTATCAGTCAGAGTGAATTAGTGAGGAGTGTTGGCCTAGTGGTTAGAGCTGTGCACTTGTGCTTTGAGAAGGTTTCAAGTACCTGGTTCGATACCCACAGCCTACACTGTCATGATCGGTTTAATGAATCTGACCCACATGCAGAGTAACTACTCAGAAAACATGAAGAAAAGTTCAACAGGTTTATTTGTAGTAATGACAACTGGTGTTGAGACTGGAAGTCAGATGGGATGATCACTTCAGCGACCGTGGGAATCTTGGATGTTGTTACATTTTTGCAGGAGAGGGACTCGCGTTTAAGGGGGCTCTTGTGAATCCTTGAATCCAGTGTGTGTGGGATTATCCAGAGATTAGGGAACACATTGGAGAGCAGACAGGTAGACAAACGTTGGACCCGGAGGAGTAATGGAGCGGACTGGTCCTCGGATTTCCGATGGGAACTTGAACGGAACATGTGGAGGTTTTCCCCTGCTCAGTGTGAACTCAGTTTTTCCTTCCAGGGGGAGAAGGTCCAGATATCCATTTATACATGAAGGCTTCCAGCCGAAGAACAAGGACAAAAACTACATGAGTCTCAGAGAAACAAAGCTCATGTCAGTCTCTGCTAATCTACGCTTGGTTATA